GTTTCTGCTTCACAAGTTTCTCCAAGTAAGTGTCAATAAATTTTCTTGAACACTTGTTCATGAAAGCCATATATTCAAACACGAATTACAAACACGGATAAAATGGAATCTTGATTTCTGCGTTATAAAAGAAATTCATTATTTCCAAATCTTTCTCGTTGGATATGCCATGAGAAGAAATATCGTGTGGCCTTTCTTCCAGTTAGTATTATTCGGGAAGGTTTCAAAAAACAGAAAGATTTTAGACGAACGTTGAAAACTGAGTTCAACTAAATCCAATCTACGATCTATGTGCTAGCGTCAAACGCGTCTTCCACATTGCCAGCGAAATTAGTTGATCGCCGAGATAGAACTGTGTTATTGCAAGACGTTGTTCACGACACTTTGCAACGCAACTGATTGCAACTTCATTGACCCGTGGAACAAGAGAGGCAACGCCAGTTGTTTCTATCGAGCAGACGTGAACCACTGTTCAGACCGCGGAACTTCTTCCGGTCTGTGTCATAGGATATTCCCGGCGCGTTTCTCTCGAGGCATACAGACCTTTCCTTTGTGGCTACGTACGAGTGCAATGACGCCCGATCAACCGGAAGTCTCCTATCGATTCCGATACGTTCGCGAGCACAGCTAGCTATGTCTGCGCGTTGGACCAACGTATCAAAAAAAATTTGCAAGTCGAGTTGAAAGATCGTAGATTTTTTTCCCCGACGGCTATCGATAACTATTAACCCAGTTGCGTCTACTATCAATTCTGAAGGGTAATTGAACGACGATTTTTCTTCCCATTCTGTGAGATTTTCAGTAGCTGTTTGCTGTCGTTGTTTATTTAAAAAGTTGGAACAGTAAAGTAGTTGGTAGTAACTGAAGAAGGCCAAAGGCACGTTAAGAAATCAATATTTTCTAATTAATTATAGATTTTAAATATAGACGGGTTTAAATTTAAATATCTCGCTGAACATTCTGTTTCAAAAAATATTCTTTTCATTACCAACGCGTCTGAAATATTTATTATCGAGATTATCGTGCATGTTGAGAGGCACTTGAAAGCTGTAATTAAAAAGTTTCTAAACTTCGATCCCTAAGGCTGATCTACGAGGGTAATATTTTCGCACTCTCAGCGAGGAAGTGCTCGAGAAAGCGTAATACGAATTAGCTCGACATTCGAAGGCTCGTTCGTTCGTTTCCATTTGTTCAGTTCGAAGTTCATAAATCCCGAGTTCTGACGATGTTCGGAAGATCGTCTGAAAGTTCGCTGTCACTCTGCGAGCCGAGAACTTCGAGACGAAGTTCGCCGTGCTTCCAAACAATCGATTGTTTATCGGTCGTTTGTTTATTAAAGCTGACAGAATGACGACAAACTAAGCACGGTATCACGAGAGAAGAAACTAAGAAGAGTGAATTATTTTACTCCCATGTCAAGTTAGAAATTATTATCTATAATAATGAACCGCTTGAAAGTTTAACACGTGCTGTATATTCTCACTATAATTCTGCCCCTACGTTTCGTAAATATCACGAGCAACATTTCATTCTCGCCGTTTCAAGAACCGGGATGGAACTTTCAGAATCACGTAAACGTAAAAGTTTCAAGCATGCTTCATCGTATTCGGCAAGATAATGCATCAAGAGGTTATTCAACGCGGAGACAACACTCGTAGTTTCATCCGCGGTGAAAGAACTCGTGAAAAGAATTTTTATAAAAAGAAATGGGTCGCGGCGATCGGCGCGTGGATAATTAAAGGATTCGAAAAGCGGCCGCGCGAGGATCTCGCTGCATTTCGTTCTTTTTTTTTTCTTTCCACGGTTCGCGTGCGACGATCTTTCTAGCTTACGTCGTGCAAAATACTAAAACGTGCTTAAAAAAAACGTACCGTAGTATGCACGTGATTGATCTTTCGGCACAGGGCAAATGCAAACTACGGAACAGA